TCCTAAATCCAAGTAGTTGACATGAACTAAATCAGTTGTCAGGAGAAAACCTACACCACAAACAAGGCTACATGGCACTGGACTGGTAGTTGAGTCCAATTACTCATCTAGCAGTGACCAGTACTGGCTACTTCTAAAGAAATAGGAAGCAAGATAGCAGGTAATTATGTTGCAGGGAAGTTTGCCTTTAAGTCTTACGATGGAGGCATGAGGATCATTCCATTTTGGAAAGGATAAGTAGGTGAAATCTCCACACCAACAAATAACATTTTGGGAAAGAATGACCCATCTTGCAACACAGTTAAAAAGTGAAAGTCCTCTACTGGCCCAAAAACCATTGAAGAGTCAGTAGCCCAGGAATCTCTAGTGCAGAAGCCACCACAGCTATTGAAGCAGGATATTTTGTCCAGATTTGAATACACCTACACTTAAGTGCATGTGTAGACATACCCTATTTTGGAATAAGCTAGTCTGGAAGAAACTGAAATAGCACATATACACTACAGAGAAGCCTCAAAATTAGTCCAAAGCAGACTCCCCTAATGTGCATACACTACCTCCACTTAGAGCTCTAGGGAGTAATTACTCTGAATGGCTCTGGGGAGGAGCTCTATTGAAATAGCTTTTTTCCCCAAAACAGCTGAGGTGTGGATGCTCCATTACTGCTGTTTCAGAATAGGGGTTATGCCTCATGGAATGAGGTTTTCAGAAGCTGGAGTAAGCTGTGTGTTATTTTGAAACAGAATTGGTGTGTACATGCACCCTTAGAATGGTCCCTGGAATTGAAGTATAGCTCATCATAGAGTTTCTTGTGAGCCTTTAAGGCAGTGTTTCCCAGTTGGTGCTCTGCAAAACCCTGGGATTCTGCAAAGCAAGAGTAAGGGTTCTGCAAGAATGTGGTACTCCCAAATCCTCTTATGGGGTGGGAGAAGGGAGGGGAATTGTATCTTTACTTGACCAATTCAAGCTGGGCTTTTTTTCCTCCACTTTCAGCAGGGCTTTATTGCTTCACAAGTTTTCAACTAGCATTCCTAGGGGTTCCTTAAAGTTCTTAAAAGGAAAAAGGTTCCATGGCCAAATTGTTAGGAAATACTGCTCTAAGGCACTCAGTTACTGTGGGGTGAAGGTGTTGGAGAAAACCAGCAAGCTCTCCATGCAAGGACTACTTGATTGTCCACACCCCAGCATGATTGTGCACCTTAAATGCCACTAACACAGCATCACCAACATCCTGTGACTCAACTACATTAGTGCTTCCTGAGTGACAACCCAACATGAAAGTAGCAAATTGTGGTTTAAGTTAGGCACATCAGACTGACCACCATCAGGTATCTAGATTAATCAGTGATTAGCAAGACTAGCTAGCCTCATAGGGCTTATCTGTACACCTGTGGGAACACCACAAAGTACTGCAGCTCCAAGCTTAGTCTTTGCTCCATAGCAATCCCAGAAGAGCTAGTACTGATCCTGTTGGCTTGGGAGGAAGCCGCCCTTCTCTTTGAAGTCCAGTCAAAGGACTCCAGCCCAAGCTTGATTGTTTATATGGCTACTTTCAGATAGTGATGTTAAAGTGTGGTTATTTGACTAGTCAATGGGATCATCAACTAATTGGTGTACATTTCAAAGAAGGAATGTAAAAGTGCCCAAAAGCCCCCTCTGGGGCTCTTCTATAATTCAAATGAGGAATGCGGAACTGTTTATGGCCTTGGGGCAGCAGGAAGTCCTGCTGACTGGGCTGCACATGGGTGCCTGCTTTGAAATGTACAAGTCCCCAGCAGACCTATCCTCCATGAATTTATCTAGCTCTGAGCCCAGTTAAATTCATGGCCTCTACAACATCCTCTGGCTAGGAGTTCTACAGGTTGACCACATGTGAAGGAATATTGTCTGTTTTATACCTGCTGCCTATTGTTTGACCTTGTTTGTCTTATGGGAAGTACATGCTTGTCTCTTTACTTTGCCCACCAGTCAATATTTCAACAAACTTCAATCATATCCCTCCTTAGAGTCCCAGTCTTATCAATCTGACCTCAAAACAAGCCATTCCAGAGCCCTGACTGTTTTATGAAAGGGTGACCTCAAATCTTGATCCTGTGGGCTGATGTACAGACCATGGATTTTATATAGAGGCAATATGGTATTTTCTGTTGCATGTCTCTTCCTATTTAGTCTATCCTGGTAGATTACTAGACATGTGGACATGGAGATTTAGATGTACAGTTGTGTTAGTACTACCAAAACTTCATTAAAGTATTAGAGAGCTTGAAAACATGTCTGGTGGACTTAGCTGAAAGACAGGGCTTGTTGCTGGAACCTCCAGTAGTAATACTGACTATTCTATGGCAGACAATAGACAAGAGAACAGGTTTACTCAACTTATCTGATGGAAAGTGTCTCACCATTGGGAGACATGTGGACTTGTGTGCAGGAAGCCTTAGGGCGAAGATTTCTTCCTCAAAGCAGTCTGCAAAGTTATTCTACTACTAGGATAGTAGTGACTCAATTTGCTAGGCTACTCCATGTACAGAAATGATCACTCCTATAGGATAGTTTTTCAATGTGCAATTAAAATTTATTGCTTGACAGTTACTAGAAGACAGCTGAAAACATAGTACAAAAGCTTCAGGCTTCAGCCCATGCTGGAGGCATGGTGAACAGTCTTCCAGCCAATGACAATTTCACCATTACTAACTCGATGTTATGGACAGCAAACAACTACTTTGACCAAGGATGGAATTTAATCAGATCTGCCCATTTGCTTCATAGCCACCATTTTAGAGATTTGTGCGCTTCAGTCTCAAAGCAAGAGCTGCCAAGTTTCTTGGAATCTTGTGCCTATGCCAGAGTTGAGGTGACTGGAACACCATAGCTTACGGTCATTGTTTTGACAAAGTCTATGGTGTAAATTGACAAACGTCACTTTTCTGTTAAAGTTCCTCTTGCGCCTATGTTCAGTCTTGTTCTCAGTTGAACTAGTGTCCTGGGGAGTGCTTTGGTATTCCACAGAAATCCCAATATGTTATTGCATATTTGCATAGAGGGCTTCAAGTTGGGTCTTAAAGTATTTACAGAGGTCTGCTCTCTTTGCTTTCAGTGTTGGGGTCAGAAGTCCATTTTCAATTGAGAACATCTCTGGATGAATGTGGATGTCTTTAACCTGCGTGTAGAAAGAGCCAGACAGTTACACTGTTAGCTAATTCATTGTCTACGTTGGAGGTGATAAGAAACTATAATATAGCAATTCAAAATGGCTCTTCAATTTATCATGGAGTTGACTGTTAGGTTCAGGAATAGCACAGGAACGTAAGCGACTACTCAATTATACAAAAAGTGTATGCTTAACTAGTCCATCAACTAGTTGCTTCCAACCCTTTTTGCGCTGCCTCAGAGGCAGCAAGGGGGTGGGAGAAACTGTAGCTCAAAAGTTAGCTTCCCGGAGTAGGATCTCTGCAGGAGGTAGCAGGGACCAGGTGTGAGCTGGCAATTGGCTGATTCCCAGCTCACACCCAGTCCCAGAGACTATGCCTCTGCTTTCTAAAAGCAGAGCTGCAGCAAGGTTAGCTCCCAAGGTTAGCTGTGGCTCCCTTGCTTATTGACTAGTTGATGGAAGTTCCTAGAATAGCATAAGCTGTAGCAATGCATACTTCAGTGGCTGCCAGAGGCCTGTTTGTTCTAACATTACAGAAAAGTTATGCAATTGTTCATAATCCTCTATACTCACTTGTTCAAAGGACTTAAGGCCTGCTTCTTTTCCTACTTTGACCAGCTCTTCTAAAATTGCTTTTTTCAATACCTAGAAGAGACCAAGTTGATGACAGCCATGTTGCAACACAAAAGCAGGCGCATTAGAACTACCTCCCTTTCTAAATCCTTGGCTGGGATATTGATTGTTGAGGTTATGCTTAGGGTTGAGTCTAAGGGCTTTTTGTTCGAAGTCCTCTGAACATTAGCCATCTCTAGGGAAAGCAGAGCATTCTCCATGCTTCTCTAGATTGGCAGCGTGAAGCCTCTGTAGCAATGGCAGGTTGATTAGAATGCAGGGCTTGCAACCTCTCGATCAAGTGTTTATTCCAGGACAGAATCAGAGCTGGAAGAGACTTGAGGAGGTCAAGTCCAGCCCCCTGCCCAAAGCAAAACCAACTAAATCAACCCAGCCAGGGCTGGGTCAAGCCAAGACTTAAAAATCTCTAGGGATGGAGATTGCACCAGCTCCCTAGGTAACTCATTCCAGTGCTTCACCACCCTCTCAGTGAAATAGTTTTTCCCTAATATCCAACCTAGACCTCCCCCACTAACTTGAGATCATTGCTCCTTGTTCTGCCATCTGTCACTACTGAGACTAGCCTCTCCCCATCCTCTTTGGAACAGCCTTCAGGAAGTTCAACATGCTTAAAAAACCCTGAGACTTAAGGACTAACTAGTATTTTAAACTGAAGCTTAGAACAGAGCTCATGAGAAATATCCTGGTGCCACATTAAGGCAGTTTCTGCAGCTCAAGTCAACCTATCCAGAGGATCTGATAGGTAAGATAAAAGCCACTTACTGAATTGGTGCACATTTCTTCATATGAACCTTTTATTCCAAGTTTTGCTGCAAAGTTTGGCAGTACCTCGGGGTCAGGAACCACTACACCCACCAGAGAGGGCTGTGGAAAGAGTCAAGATGTAGGAGGTGCACCAAGAGTTTCATGTAATCCTGTTCAACATGCCACTGACTGAGTACAGCAGTCAGGGCCGGATTAAGAACTTTAGAGGTCCTAAGCACTGAAAAGATTATGGTGGTTCTCCCCTTCGCGCCCCCCCCCACCCCCCATGTAATTCAAGATAAAAAATACTGTACCATACTCTTTTCTGGTTCCCCTGATTTGCTAATGCCCTAAGCATGTGCTTAGTCTGCCTATTGGGTAATCCAGCCCTGACAGCAGTCATACTGTGACGTTCAACCCAAAAGAGACTTTACAGAAAAGTACAGATTTTTCCTATTGTCCATATTGGTGACGGGCAGATTCTCTGATCAGATGTATGCCTTTCAGAAAGGGAAAGTGCCTAGTTAAGAGCATGAGATTGGTCTCCTGTACATTGAAGCCAAAGGTCCTCTAGCTTGTTGCTTGTAAAGTGTAAAGATCTATGGTACAATTGTGCACGTCCTCTGGAAAGAGGATTAAATACACCAGACTGCTTACCATTTTAATTTGTTTTGCTTAAAGCAAGCCAGGAGTGTCTGCTCTCATTGAACAATTTCAATAAGAGTTTATAGCCATCCAGTTTATAGGCACCTATTTCTCCTAAACATTAAAATCAAACTGGTTAATAGCTTTCAGTATTAGTCTAGAGGCTCTCATTGAAATCAGTGAATTCTCAGCTGTAGCATCATCACTTAGGCAAGTTCTCACCACTCAAACCCCCACACAGAACCAAATACCCAGAAGTTGGTTCTTACTCTTCCCAACCTACTTCGAGACAATAAAAAGAGCTAGACACCATCCTACCAAACACTGCAAAAGTGAAGATTCCCTGCCCTACAGTGGGGAAGCCTAGCAAGAGACAGCCTGGGCAGCAGGTACACAGACTTTAGAGCTACAATGGTCCACCAGATTTACTGACATCACAGGCCACCTATACGCACTCACTAAGCCCAGAGGCATGAGGGGAGACCGCAATTTGTACAAAGAACCAGCCTTAGAACAGGGGAGTCTGGGGTACTCCAGGTCATGCTCCAAAGGCCTAGTTCAAGGGAATGCACTCATTTCCTATTTAGTGAGTAGGACAGACAGGGAAAAAAGTCTGCTTACCTGTAAACTGTCCCCATGTACAAACACTTGGGCTACAGGAGCACTTCTGATGTAGATGTTTTCAATCTTCTCTGGCGCAATGTACTCCCCTTGTGCTAGCTTAAAGATGTTCTTCTTTCTGTCAATGATCTTCAGGGTTCCATTCTACAGTGATGATTTGGTCTTAGTTGCCTAGTACTTAGTCACCCCTCCTCCCCCAAGTGAAGGCTTACTTCTAGAGACAGCCTAAGTCAGCTTCAGTGGTTTAATATGTTGCCCTGAATCATGCTGCTTGTCTGACAACTGCATCTTTAACTTCCCCAATTGGTACCTCAACTTCAGTGGAGTTGATTTCAGAAGCCAGCCACCCCCACCTTGCCCATGCACACCTCAGTTATTCCAATTCTCAGGATGGCTGGGCAGTTTAGTTTTGTTCATTGCTTCCCAAAGGCTTGCCAGCCAGCTAGGGAAGAGTTCCTCCTGTAGCATCTATTAAACCAGGGAAACTTACTGGCATCCATTTTCCAATGTCTCCAGTGTGAAGCCAGCCATCATCATCAAGAGCTTCTGCTGTTCTCGCAGGATCTTTCAAGTAACCCTTGAAGACATTTGTTCCTTTAATACAGACCTACAGCAGGCAAACAAGAATGTGTCATTACATGCTCCATCTGTAGCATTGTGCCAATCCACACAGCACCACTCCTGAGACGGGTTTACCTACCTCTCCTTCGTTATTGGAAGAGAAGTAGTTCATATCAGCCACATCTTCTAGTTTTATGATATTGCAAGGTAGAGGGGCTCCAACATGCCCTGCAGGAAGAGATGTTTCAGTAGACGTTAGTGGGATCCCAAGCCTCTCAATCCACAGGTGACTTTTCATCAAAGATATTTGAGTGTCCATTTAGAGTCCCTTTCTACTTTAGTGGGAAACTGGAATTGGAGCAGGGAAGAGGGGCAATATTGCACCACTCTTTTCGTACTGTCTATAGTGCACGTTAAGCATTCCTGATCAGATTAAGCATTCCTGATCAGATTGCTGTTTCAGCAGTGGAAAGCAAGTCAAATCTTGATTACAGGTGAAGAGCATTTTAGCCTTCAGGTTGTGTTTTATGTTGGAGCCATAGGAATCTGAAATCTATAAATGAAATTTCATAGATGGGGAGATAAGTCCTTGCAAGTGGTTTAAAATCCTGTGACACTACCAAGTGCCAAAGTTAGTTTGTTCCCTCTACCACAACAAGTAAGTAGCCAGTGCATGAGAATTTCTACCCTGCTTCTTCCCCCACTTTCCCCCTTCAGTTGCATTTGAAATTTTACTGTGTTCTGGTAGATGACTTCAGCCTAATAGTATCAATTCATTGCAATTAAGTGATCCAAAATGGGTCTAGCCCTCTCCTGAGACTGTCACTTAGTCTCAGTATTTTAAGTTTACAAATATTTAGTTAATATGAGCAGTTGCAATAAAGCACTGTTTTCTCCACATAGATACAAAATGGGTTAGGCACAGCATATAAAACATCCACCACCTAAAAACTGTAACATCGCCTCCCCACAGTGCATTGATTAACTTCTGGGTTAAGTGTGAGCAAGGGAAACATGCATGTGTGCTTTGTCCATTAGAACCTAATGTGCCCCAACACCACATTGGTTCTCCCCCCCCCCCCCCCCCCCCCCCCCCCACACCCACTAAGCTACCTGATCAGTAAGTTCATTCATCACATGCACAGATGCTATTCAGGCTAGCAAACCCTTACTCAGAAAAGAAAACCATTAGCACACTACAGGGCAGCAAAAACTTGTCCCCCCATGAGGGAGGGATGGGGGAGAAAAGGAGGAGATCTGTGCTAAAGACTACTAGGACATTTAGGTGCCCAACCCGTATTGGCCTTCTGGTATCAAGATGCCATATACTTGTGGCAACTTCAGGGGCTACTTTCTATCTGACATACCTGTTGTCCAGTCTCCAGGCACTGTGAAGGTGCAACCTGCTGAGCATTCTGTCTGACCATAGGCTTCAAAAATCTGAAAAGGATGGGAACACTCGCCCTTATTATTGGAGTCCTTGTAAGGTCACTGCTGTATGGTTGTAAGCAATGTGCACCTGTAGCATGTTGAGATGCACTTTTACATGACACTATGAAGTCATTTGCCACCTCCAGCATTCATAACACTATTAAAAGTTAGTGTAGGACTATGGTAGAATTTAGATCCAATTCCCTGCTGTTCTGATATAATTGGTTTTTATTATGGATAAGGTTGAGCCCTTCACATAAAGGCAGAATTCCTACCACAGGCCTCCCTCTTAATGGCCCAAGTGGCAGCCAAAACTTATTGAAAAGGAAACAGATTAGGGAGAAAACCAATCAAGTGGAGTTGTCCAGATGTCTTTCCAGTTCCCTCCAGAGCCACTCCTGCACAAACCTAGTGCAGAGGTCTTGTCCAGAGAGCCCTGCATAACCAGTGCTTGAACATCAGCAACTAACAGGGAAAGTTGCTAGAAGGCTCCTGGTACGGTGGTGTGCTCTGTTCATTGAACAGATCGCGGAGAATATCTGTTGGAGATGACTCCAAGCAGTTTAGCGTAAGAGCTATGTTCTCTCCCTACTATACTAATGCATAGCCTGGAGGTTGCAAGCTTCCTCTTGGTAAACAGATACAAAGGCCTGCAGATCTTAGTAGGACTGTACAGCTATAAGATTTAAACTCAGTCATTTAACGGGCTGTTCTTCTCTACCCTTGCCTATCTATTTGGACTTGCCTGCACATCAGGGAGTTCATCTTCAGATTTGGTTACTTGAAGCATCTGGCAGAGTCAGCCTACCAAGCAGCCAAGCAACTCCACCTCCTCCTGCCCCCCGCTTTCCCCTCCCCCCCCACACTTCAGGAAGAAACCCTTACTATGTAGTACTCAACTCTGAAGATTGTAGAAGGTTGGATCCAACTAGAAAAATTGTGGATACGTAAGACGGGAGAAGAGTTGTGTGATGAGTCACTAAGAAAGTCTGTTCTAGAATGAGGTGTTTTGGTGTAAGACTTTTCAGCCATGTAAAATGCTATTGCATTGGTCTTAGCTGCATGCCCACACGTGCAGAGACAATACAAAAATAGTCCCCCAGTACACTCAGTCTGGACCAGTGTCAGGTCAGGGAAATAATCAAGTTTAGTAGCATCAGCAGAGTGTCCCCCCTTATTCCATGGTTCAGGTATGGCTCACCTGGCATCCCAGTGCTCCTCTGAGAAGTGTCAGGACAGGGGGAGATATAGGTGCAGCTGCTGTTACCATTATACGCACCTTCCCACCCATGGACTCCTGCAAGAAGAAGTGAAAAGAGATAGATCAGGCTCTTAGATGGAGAGTTAAGATTTGTGACTAAATTGAGATACTGTTAAACATGCTGACTGGAGCCATGTATGAGAACCTGTGACTTGAATCAAGGCATGCCCCTTGATTTCTTCCTCCCTTCTCCTTCAGAGAAGATTGCCACGAGCACATAGCAAGTCATGTCACACAAGCCTTCAAGGAAGCATACCACTTGAACAAAACGGAGTACTGCTATTGGAGGACTAAGGCCTGTGTGCCAGTCACTGAAGTGAGAGGTCACAGACAGATTGGAAGGCTTGATAGAACAACTGTCTGTGGGTGAAAGCATCAAGCATCTCAAAAGGACTAGTTAGCATCCCACTTGGCTGTAGAGGAATTATTGCGAGGCCACCATGTGTAGCTTAGAGATCAGCAACGCTTCACATCCCCTGCTAACTTGGCAAGCATCTCAGGTCAGTCTGAAAAGTCAATTAGTATTGAGATGGATACATGCAACATCTCAGCTAGCCCAGTGGAGGTAGAGTACTTGGCAGTTGTCCATTTACATAGACAGCCAATGATAAGGCTTAGCACTCCATCTCGTTAGCACTCCATCTCGTACTTCAGCTTCTAGATCATTCCCTCCCCATCATGGTCACCACTGCTCCAATTTTGTTGAACCCGTAGTTGTTCCCTGTAAGAACCAGGCCATACACACACGATACTCAGACTACATCTACACTGGTGTGATCTTGCGCAAAAACTTAAGCACAAGAGTTCTTGTATTAAAGTAGTTGTGTAAGAGCATCTACACTGGCATGTGCTTTTGTACAAGAGCATCTATGCCAGTGTAGACGCTCTTGCACAAGAAAGCTCAGATGGCCATTTTAACCATAGGGCTTTCTTGTGCAAGAAATTCATGTTGCCTGTCTACACGGGCCTCTTGTGCAAGAACAGCTGCACAAAAGGGCTTATTCCTGAGCAGGAGCTCCAGTTCTGGTGTAAAGTCAGGGCTTCTTGCACATTAGAACGTCAGTTACTTGTGCAAGAACGTGCAGCCAGTGTAGACAAGCAGCAAGTTTTTGTGCAGGAGCAGTGGCTTTTGCACGAGATTGCACCAGTGTAAACAGCCTATATATTGTATCATATCTTACTCTTACACTACTGTAAGGAGCAGTCACCAAGGATTGGAAGCTTCTAGATAAAAGGTAAATTTTAATAAGAATTCAGAGTGAGGAGCAGCGCTTTTACCTTCTAGAAGGTTCAGTTTTAGTACAACTCTGCCTTTTGACTAGGTTCAGTTGCAAAGTATTTTTCCAGATACTTCTATCCAACTGGAACATAGCCCCTCTAAGATGCATTTGTACAATGAAATTAGTTATGGTACATTCAGTTGAGCTATTGCTGGAAAAGTGTTTAAGAAGGCCCTTGAGATGAATTGTACACAATATACATGGTTCCCATTCTGGACCCAATCTGCAGATGTTCTATGGAGCCTGGCTTGAGCTCATGTCAGACTTGAATGCTCTTGCTTTGGATTTCAAGAGCACACAGCATTCGTCAAATGGAGACTATGAGGAGTCTTATTTGGCTTACCATGCTGCTTGAGCTGGCAGAGATAAACAGAGTCTAATTCCCTTCTTTGGGCTTGGGAGCTCAATGAATATTTTCTGTTGCTCAGATTCTAAGTATCCTTGAGACATACCTGGACCTTCTTAAAAATCATTTTGTCCCAGATGCTGTCATTTCGGAGAACGCCCTGCTTCACATCTGCCAGTTTTCTATCCACAGCAAAGTTTAGCAGAGTCTTTTTCAATGGGTTCTGTGCACTACTTTGTATCTGTGGGAGAGGAAGTTCTGTTCAGTGAGTTTGACAGTAGGTCTGCATGATGGGGGAGAACTACATCTGAGGAAAAAAAAGGGGTGCTAGATTTATCCTCCAGTGCCATCTTCATCCCTTTAGAGACAGTGGCACCAATATATTCCTCACTTTGCCTACTGGTTCTCTGTCATAAAACTTAAGGACCTGCCTCCAAAGCAAAGTTTGGGCCATGCAGATTGTCATGGGGCTCTTTACAGCAACTGCTAAGTGTTAGTGTTTGCCAAGAGCAACTATGAACACTCTGGCAGAACATCTGAAGAACCATGCTGGAATTAAGTTTTCATGGGAAAGGTCAGAGGTATTTACATTACTGTAGCATCAGGAAATTGCGCCCACCCCCAAAACCTGATGGGTATTCAGTACATTTAGTTTAAAGCAGGCCTTTGAGCAAGTTGGTGCCAAGTTGTGTTAGATGTACAGCAAACAATTGGCAGTTAAGTTTAACCCCCCCTCCCCCGGATGCATCTAGGGAGCAGCAGCTTTGAGTACCTTGTCATAGAGCCTGTTGAGCAGTCTTGGTACTGCTGGAAACATAGTTGGCTTCAAGGTTTTCATGTCATCTGTTAGCATTCTAATGTCTCCTTGAAAGAAGCCCACTCTTGCTCCACTGGAGTACATGATGGTCTAGAAAAAACAAACAAAACATACACATGGAGCATGGCCCTGGTCTTACAAGTTCCTGTCCAAGGTAATCGTCAACACCGCATAGCTGGGTGTCAAAACAGCATGCGTTTTAAGGCTAGGCAAGTGTCTCATTTGTAGTATACAGCTTCCTTTGTACAATGTTGTTGCCCAGGATGAAACCACTTAGTCTTCAACTTCTGGCATTTTCTTAGTGCCAAATGTTTCCTGTATGCAATAGTCTTTAGAAGCAAGATTCAATATCCCTAACATTTGTAAGATATCATTGGCTGCATGAACCTAATTGCTACATCATGGCCCTCCCTCCAGTTTATACTTAAATTGTTCTACTGGTTTGCTTGGGGGCTTGGCTTACTCTTACCTGTACTACTCTCTCAAACATGTGAGCCAGAGGAAGATACGATACTGAGATATCTGTAGTCTTGCAGTCAAATGTACTCTACAGGGAAATAACATTGAGACAGGACAGTCATGCTACAGTATAATTCAAGAACAACCACATCTACGAATCTGCTCTATTGAAACAGGTAATTTAATATCTCCAAAATCCCAGAGTAGGTTGGAACAGGAGTTGTCAAAACTTGGGTATTTCACACACTGCCATACCCCCCAGGTCCAGAGTGATCCTTTAGAGCCATGGTATGCAACACATTAGCACCATGTATTTATTTGGCTGGTTGAGTGTGCTAGCTCAGAACCTGGACACCATAGCTTTAGAGATTATGGAAGTTGGCCACCACTTGGTATTCCCTGTCTGAAAGTACATTTTCCCAGCCTGGTCTGGAGCCAAGTTGAGCAATCTTGACAATGAGTTTTGGGGAAAACAAGATTCTCTTGGCTTCTTCTAGGGGCTTGTCTATCTCCTAGAGACAAACCACAGGAAAGGGCCCAGGATGGGAAGTTCTCAACAGCCAGACTTCAGACATTTCACAATTTTTGTTGGGACTTCATTTATTCTCAAGTCTAGCTCCTAGTTTCTTTAGAAACATTCATCCTGGCTTTGGACAGGAGTGAGGTTCATGATCTTGGCCTGGTCTACAAATGGAGGTGTTCATTTCAGAATCCTCCCAAGTTATCATGATTAACTCAACAGGTCCTGAATAGTTGCGGAGCTGGGTGACTGACAGAATAGCCTACATTAGTCACTTCAAGCCTGATCTGCCAAAGGAGGAAACAAATTCAAACAAACATGCAAGCAACATCTTACCTCAGTACTTTTAAGGAAAGCAGACGCATTTGCAACAACGTTTTCATGTGTGAGCATGGCTCCTTTTGGATCACCTACCAAAGATCATGAGGAAGAACAAACTGATGGCAGCCAGAACCACTAGGCATTTGGCAAGTTTTACAGTTTGCTTGGCAAAGTCACTTGTACATTTCCAAGCCCTCAGCAATTGTTTGCAGTATTGGATTCAAGTCACATTTGCACATGTAACTTGGTCTCAAAATAGGATTTAAGATTTACACAAAGAATATTACACCTATTACAAATGTGCCTACTGGCGCCTAAGCCTGAGGTGTAGTTTTCCCTCCAGCTAGGCATGTTTCAAGTGGAGGCATGGATTTGTACATTTAAGGGATAACATACCAGAGATGGGGAGCCAAATTCTTACACTGTTGGAGTAGGGTTGCATGGATTTAAAAAAAAAAAAAAAAAAAAAAAAAAAAAATTCCTAGCACAGTTCTGCTCAGTTGTATGAAGCTGCCTGGATTTATTTGTTACAGTTGAACACAAGACAGGCTCATCTGATAACCAGTACCACCACACTGGTTGGTTATCACAGAAGTCAGTCTTTTGCTTTGGATGACTTGTTTCCAGAGTCCCTTCCCTCCCTCAATCTCCCCTGATCCAGGACAAGAAAATTAATACACCAAGGCTAGGTCTACACTGGTGTGATCTTGTGCCAGAAATATGCAAATGAGGCTAAGCGTGGAATATTGCTGAGCCTCATTTGTATCTCTAATAAGCCACCACTTTTGCAGAAGAGGCTCTTGTGCCCGGAGCATCTACACTGCTCCTTCTGCTCAAGAGGGTTTTTCTTGCACAATTCCCTTATTCCAGAAAATAATCAGCATAGCAGCATTGTGCAAGAGTTTGTGCAAGAAGGGGCAGTGTAGATGCTCCTTCAGGTCCAAGAGCCTCTTCTGCAAAAATGGCAGCTCATTAGATATGCAAATGAGGCTCAGCAATATTCCACAGCCTCATTTGCATATTTCTGGCACAAGGTCATGCCAGTGTAGACATAGCCCAAAAGTCTCATTGCGTGACTGATACTACTCACCTGTTGTTCCACTGGTGAAACAAACAATGCTAAGGTCCTCAGGTTTAGGAGGCTAAGATGACAAGAGAAGCAGTGTTAATTCCTTAATCCAGAAAGCTTTTTTAAAATCTTGCTCCATTACTGGAGCAACTAACCACTTTCCAAATAAGGAGGAGCCAGTAACCAAGCCTGACATTTCTTCAGCAAGAAAGCTGTTTGGGTTCAGCTCTATTTTAGTAAGGTTTGAGGTAGAAAGGAAGGAGTCATTGCTGATTCATTCTTACAAAAAGGCCTCTTCAAAGAGGCAGGTTTAGCAGTGCTTTCAAAGATAGAGTATTAGTTTGAGACTTACAACAGGCTCTTTTAAGTTGTTCTTGCCCAGCTCCTGTGATCACGATAGATAAAAAAAGCTATTGTTAGAGTCAGAAAGTCAATGCAATGTCAGCAAGTTTAAAAGTCACATGCCCATCAGCCGTGTTTAGATGGTGTGCATTTTGCGTGTCCAGGTGCACACACCTCAACATGCAAAGCCCTCTTGCAGTTCTATAGCACTTACTGCAGAGCCCTCCAATCAGGAGTTCAGTACAAAGCTGGCTCCAAAGTATCTCCCTGAACCAAGTGAGCACATGTTAAGTGCACAGCAGAAAAATTCCAACTATGTATATACACACACAGAATGGGTCTGCATGAGTTGTCACCACACAATGACTTGCAGATCTGAGGATTGAGCAGTTGTCTTCAGAAAACAAAGTACAATTGCACTAAAGACCACCCACACTAACAGTGTCTAATGGCCCCTACCCAAGGAAAGGATACATTAGAAAATATCCGTGAGAAAGATATCCATGTACACCCAGACCTGAGTACAGGGTCAGATTCTGGTTTCCGCATCAAGAAGTCACACCACATTAGAATTTAAGTACCGAGAACAGAAACAAAAAAGTTAAGGATATGCAAAGGCTTCCATAGGAGGATAAGTTAAACAGTCTGTTTAACTTGCAAGAGAGACTGAAGGACAGCACAGAAGCCATCAATAGCTGGAAGTGTTATGCACCCCTCAATTGGATGACCTCTGGTTTGTGTGAAGTAGATTTAAAAGCCTCCAACAAACAGATACTTCAAAATGCAGTCAGCCTTGTTGCCAGGAGTGTAAATAGGTACAGAAAAAAGTTAGATATGGTCATCAAGGATAGGCCATCAATGACCATTAATCAAGATGGTCAGGGATATAAGCCCATGCTCTGAATGTTTATGCCTCTCACTGCCAGTGCTCAGAAACCACCATTTGAAAAATTCGCCCTGTTCTGGTCTCCCCCCTCCTCCCCATAGCATCTGGCACTGGCCACTTTTGGAAGGCAAGCTACAGGGCTATATTGGAGTGATTATATCAGAGATGTCTCTTATCCAGAGGACCAGCAAGTTGCCAGCTCTAGTCATGCTCTGTTTTAGAAGTAATAGCTCCAAAGCTTCTGCAGAGAGCAAGCTCTGGGCAAGGAACTTCCAATTAGTCTTCCTTAAGCTCCCTAGAAGCTCAGGAGTATGTGCCTTAGCTGAACAAGGATCAAGAGCTGCAGAAGTTCTGTCCATTCTGACAGTTTTTGTAGAGTTTACCATTTTGGTCTGGACTAAGTTGCTTATTCTGAAGTCTGTGTCAGTTGAGACCACAAATTAATCCCAGTGTTGCTGTTTTATCCAAGTTAGACATCTGACTTTACACCAAGTCAGCATGCCAGTTTAAACACGAGACCTTGTAATACAACTAAAAATTGCAGCTCTTAATAGGTGTACATGATTCATTGAGTCATTGATAAAAGACTAGACACTCTAGTTAGTTTGTCCAGTGTATGTTGTGCATTGCTCTATTACATTGTTTGTTCATGCCATTGAGCATTTGGTTTGATGCTCTCAAACAGTGACATTGGACTTGCTTGAAATCAAGTCTTCAAGAAGCATGGTTAGCAAAGTCCTTTTCCTGCCCAGTTACTGTATCACCCTCTCCCCTATAGTCAAATAGGCCTTCAGTGACGGGTTCACATACCTCAACTTCCTGAATTGACAGGATCTCCACTTCTCCTTTCATGCCTCTATCTTTGAGCTCGCTATCAAAGAGATCCATCAGAATGATGGTCTTCAGACCTGGGATCTTCCCTTGCTCACAGCTCTCAAGCAAGACTAGTGCCTTTTCAGGTTTGTCGCAGATCACAATGGAGATATCAGCTACAGGGCAGAGAGGAAAAGAAAGCCCACACTTAGAAGGTGAATCCTACTTCTGTTGGTTTTGTAGGCACCACAATTTCACCCACATTGGAATCAGTTAATTTTTCAGCCTCCAATCATGGTTTCTGCCCATGTCAAATTCTCATTTGAAAAGTTGCAAGAGCCAGCAGTTAAAGTTAACTAGTAAGTGTTCTGCACTCAGGCTACATCTATACTGCAATGATTTCAAAATAAGCTAAATTAGGGTAGCCTGCCTCAGGCTAATTGAGGCTTCCCTGCAGCATAGATGTGTGTTTTGGAATAAGCTCTTGATTTAGAGCCCCAGGAGGAATAACTTAGAATGGCCCTAGTGAGGGGCTATTTTGAAATTGATGTGGAGCAACTACACATGCCTTGTTTTGAAATAGGTGCTATTCTTTGTAGAATGAGGTCTACAGAAGCTGGAATAAGCAGTTTGTTATTTTGAAATAATGGAATTGCTGTGTAGATGCCTGCATCGCTATTTGGGAACAACAGCCATTATTCCAAAATAACTATGCAAGTGTCTACAGACCCTCAATGACTATTGTTACAAATAGGGACCTACACTAATTGAGCCATACAAAAGCTAGATTTGACTTTAGGGGGGACAAGTGTACTCCCTCCTCCCCCCACCCCCAAAAAGGGTGTTGTATACCTAGAAGTGGGTTACTAATTATTTTCTTTCCAGGTACTAAGACGTACAGTAGCAATGTAAAACCCTGTTCATTTGGTTAGCTGGCTAAACTGGAAGTTTAGCCAATTAAGGTGGCTGGTGCAGCCCCAATCACACCATGGCCCCCTGCCTGCATCCCTCACCCCTTTGTTTGGTGTGGACAAGGACTGCTCCCGCTACCGTTAAGGGTGATGTTTACTAATTAAGCTTTAACATGCCTAATTTGGGTGAGTTTTTCATGTCATTCAAAATGGTCAATCCTGAGCTTCTAAAGTTTTGGCCTTGAACTTCAGAGTTGATTATGGCATTTAAAAAGCTTAGGGGGTTACATTTTAACCTGGTATATCAAGGAGTATTGGCCTCAAGTATTCTGCATTTTCAGAAAGCTAGTGTTTAAGTGCATGTGGTGTTAAGACAGCAATGGAATACTTAATGAGCAAGTGACATGTTCAGACTTAAATGAATCTAATTAAGTTACTGCTCTGTTGTCCCTGGAGACAGAACCTGTTGGTTAGCTTGACTGGTAATGATTTTACAAATTGATTGTTTGTCAAAGCCCTGCATTTGTTCACCTAAATCTAAGAAAGTTCTGACAAGGTAAGACAGACTAGTGGAAAAAAAGTCAAAGGGAAGTTTCGAATTGAGAAGAGGGTGTGCTCTCATTTTACTCACCCTCATTAGGTTGACATTTTTGTCTTCATAGTTAGTCCCTAGGACTTCAGGCAAACCAAATCAAAGTGCATACGTAAGGGTTGATAGGATTGGGCCTTAGTTTTAATTATTTTCACTATCCTCTGTTTGGCGGCAAGACCAGTAGTCTGCTTTTTCTAGTTGGAGACTGTTTCGTAGGTAGTTTGTCAAGATTTAGAAGACCCAGTTCCTCCCAATTTTCTCATTCCTTAAAATTTAATACAAGGCTTTGCTAAAGGAATGTGGTGGAAGGCGTATTGCTCAGATGATCTAAACTTATGGGGTGGGCATTTGATAGTGTCTGTAGCCAAGTCTTGCTTGCATTGAAGCCTGTGCAGAGGATTTAAGGACTTGCAGAGCAAAATGAAGCAGTCTAGGTTTGTTACTGCGTGTAGGTCTAGCCATTCTAAAGCAGAAAATTAGTATTAGACTTGAGGAAAAGAAGGAAAGAGCATAACTGTGAGGAGGACATAAGAGTTTTACCTTTGTTAATAATAAATATAATGGCATCTGGCCCCAGAGTGTCATACAGCGGAACAGCAACCATTGAGTAAGTGTAGCAGGCATACTCGGAAATGATCCACTGCATAAAATAGGAAGCAACAAGAAATAGCATTTAGAGAAGCAGCTACCTCAAGTTTGTGACCCAGAGACGAAGGATTGTTAGAGAAGCCTGTAGAGAAGTCCCTCACACATACATCTAGTGAGGCTTTGTACATACTAACTGTATGTAGGGCATCCAGAACCCAGATCTTCATAGTTAATCCTAAGCAGCTCTGCTAGGTGAGCCAAAAGCCACCCGGACGAGGGGACTATAAGTGGATTAGAAAACAGATAAAGCCTGAGGCCAGTAGGAGAGCTGATTAACTGTTTTCCTATTGCCACTTGGGCCCAACCCAATCCTTATATTAAATTGAATTTAGATTCATGAGTGCTGAACAGTTGCCCATAGCTAGGATTCGATTTGCTTACCTCTGGTCTATTTTGAGCAAATATGCCAATAAATTGATCTGGTGATGGTTTACATCCTTTGAACAAGAGTCCTGATCCCAAATATTCAGCTCTGTCTGACACCTGCAGGAACAGAGGGAGTAGTTTATGCTCATCTCTGCCATTATCCATTTTTTGGAGAGTATATAAAAAAAGAACAGAACTAACCTGTTTGTAAGTCAACCACTGATATGGCTGTTTCGGTTTCCTGTACCCCAAGCATGGTCCATTTTCTAAGAAAAATGTTGGTAAAGCGTGTTATGAAGGTTTACATGCAAGTTTTCTATTGAAGCACTTTTAATGAGTGTTTGTGAAGAGATTGAGTGCCTTGTTGGATCAAATCTTGTGGAATTACTGGTGCTCATGTGGCTAAGTACTGTGCTAGATTTTAGACATGCATCTTTGACCTCTTCTGCAGGCTGTTAGGATTAGTGTTCTTGTAGTACTTCTGACTGCATAGCATGTGCAACAGGCAAAGGGTAACTAATGTTCTAGAAACTTTTCTAGGGGCATACACTTTTTTGAAAGAAAAAGGAAAGTCTGGTAGGAATCAACCAAGCCCAGCCAAAACTGAGACAGTGCTTGAGGTACTTCAAAAATAGAGGAATCAAAGTACATGAGATGGGGAGGAGAAGGAAATCAGTTTTACTAGAAGTTTTTGTAACATCTCTGGCAAATATATCTTTAGAACACTCTTGATCTGTCCAACTACTGATAATTTCAAGTGGCTTCTGGCTGCCATTTGATCTTCAAGGGTAGGAGAGAACCAAAAACGTATAGATAAACAAGTGTTTATCTACACTGCACGCCACCACTCTCCCCATAAACAAATGCATTATGAATTTAGTGTTCACTACTTATTTACCATTTTCCTGGCTTAAGAGTTTTCATTTTCCTAGACAGGAAACGGCAGTGATACCATCCAGCTCTGCTGGCCATTCACATGACTATTTAAAAAAAAGCCTCAGAGGGACAGAGGAGCTAAGTTTTTCCTTTTACAGACTAACACACAACAAGTAGTCTAGTAGTAGCACCTTAAAGGCTAACAAAACATGTAGATGGTATCATGAGCTTGTGGGAAAAACCCACTTCAGATGACCAGAGTTTAATATACCCAGACCCACAAATAAATAAGGGAAAAAGGGAGGGGCAGAAAAAAAAAAGATAGTGAGTAGATGGTACAAAAAAGTTACAAGAGGCTGTTAAGAACCATTAACCAGCCAAACAATGGAGGTGTTAAGTCATTAAAGGTGGTTCAGACCATTTGCATAGAAGTTGACTTCATTCTCAAGTTTAAGTTCTAATCCTTCTGTGTATTTGGCTTGTGGAATTGGCCTGAAAAACAAAACAGCAACTTGGAGATCCATTAATGAGTGTCCAGGAAGATTAACGTGTTCTCCAACAGTTTTGTTGCCTTTTCAGATAGAATTAATGGACACAATTAGACAATTGGATTTCTGGTAGAAACTGTCCAGTTTGGCCAATATACCAAGCTGGCATAGATCACAGTGGATGTACAGTTAAATGAGCCTCTGATTTGGTAGCCAATGTTCTTGGGTCTAGTGATGAAATTGCTGGTATAGATCTGTGGGCAGAGTGGCACCAGGGCTGACTACAGGGGTGGGTTCCTGGATAAGTATGATGGAGGGGTGTTGTGTGGTTATTAGAAAGAAAACAAATTCTTCCCAGTAACCATGCAACATGCCTCCATCATAATCAAGGAAACATTGTTAAATTAACTTCATTCAGAAATTTAGTTCGTGTAAATAGTCAGAACCTATATCCTGGTTCAATCACAGTATCTTCCACCTTTAATAAAGTTGCAAATGGCTCAGACTTTTGTAACTATTTGTACTACCTATTCACTTCTTCCTCCTGCCCCCCCTTCCCTTATTTATTCTTGAATCTGGACTTAATACCCAGCAGCTGAAGAGATTTTTGCCCACAAGAGCTCATACCACCATCTACATGTTTGTTAGTCTAGTAAAACCACAAATAGCCTTTGGGGTGCAAGTTTATTTTTGAAGAGACATCTGACCATTATGGCCACTGCACCTCTTGTCTAGGGGACTTCAGAAGTTTGCAGATAAAATTGGCTAACTCAAGTAACTTTGAGCTAGTGACGGCACACCAATTACATATTGAATCTATATCATTCTAGGCAAGTGTTTAACTACTGGTGCACTCTTCCAACAGAGTTGGCAATCAGATACCTGGTCTCAGTAATGACATCCTCTGTTTTAGAGTTCAGGTTCTTTTCTTTATACTAGGATTTAAATTTCTTGAAATCTGAACTTCTGATCTTCAGCTGCAAGCCTGGAAGTCACCTTCCAGCAAAGATGCCTTTCTGATTGAGCATGAAAATGGGTATGTCTACAATATACTAGCTCCCATCCACTGTTACTATCAAACTGCAGTCTTAGTGCCTTGAGCCTAGTGAGTAGCATTACCTACACTTTGCACTATGTATTTCCTGCTCAGCTAGCACACATGGTTCATTTTTTAGTTGTGACTGGAAGTGCTTTTCTTCAGAGTTTAGTTGCATATTAATAGTTCACACTTCACTTGTACCTTTTGCAGTGGAGTAGTTTGTTCAGTATTGGTAAGAATCATTCCCTTGAATTTTCTCCTAAGGCTTTAGTGATGATCCATAGGCTGCTGTGACAGGTTTTGCATCTCGCCTCAAGTAGTGGTCAAATATTGAGAAGGTACCAACACCAAACAGGGCATCTAAAAATACTGATTGTTGAATATCAGAAAATTCCTTGATTCATCTTATTTGGCCAATGCTACCACTTAAATAGAAGTGATGAAAGCTTCATTGTTTTGGACTGTGGAATGAAACTGAACAAAAAGCTATGTTCTATTGAAAACAAAATTACAATGACAGAATCTCATCTAGTAAGTTAATTATTGGCATCTTGAGAGCTATTTGAAGATGTAGAAAAGCTAGTTTGGGTACTCGTCAATCTGTAAGGCTACTGATTATTCCTTTATTTCATGGCTTACTATAAGATGCCTGGGATTGCTTCTTAAAGTCCAGTCTAGTTTGCACTAAAGTCTGACTTAACCCTTCCAGTTGAATTTCATGAATGCATAGTGCAAAGCTTTACTTAGAAGGTCCAGAAGAGACAACAGTTTAATTGGACTACACAATATCATTCCTTGTGGCTTTAAGTCTATGTAGCAAAAATGGTGACCAATGGGAAGTACTTAAAGCCAACTTCAGTAAGATCCTACTTACCAGACACATGAAGTCCTCTCTGGAAGGACTCATACATAGTTTTGGCATCTTCATAGTAATAAGCAAGCAGTTGAGTCTCTGGCAAGAAAGTACTTCTTCTGGCGCCTCCCTAGGGTCAGGGCACATATTCTTAAGTCAGTGAACTGAAGACCAATTGTAGAAGGAGTACCCTGTCCCCCACCAACCCTCTTGAAGGGGAGATTAGCATGTAAGATCAGTTAAGAGTCTTAATTTCCTCTTGAACTTAGGTTGATGGCTAAACAAGGCCATATTAGCTAATGTTCACATAAGTTACATGAATGTGGCTAAAAACATATTTAGGTCTTCTTACTGGGTACATTGACAGCTGACTCCTATGGACTCTTCTCACCCTTGTTTTGGTGGAGAACTAAGTCAATAGGAGACTGGTCAGTGTTAGATTTATTGCATCTACAGCAGATGTGATAAGTTGACCTCTGCTGGATTGATCACTGCCCATCAATCCCACCTATAGTGGAGACATGCCCTTACTTCATCTTCCATGATAATCAGATGGCCAGAGTGTTACTCAACTGGTAAAATCTCAATGTCAGTTCTCAAACAGGTCAGACCTAAGGTTAACAAATAATTGCTACTGCTCCTACTCAAGCAATCTAGAAGTTACTAAGGGTGACAAGACAAGCAACTGTTTGCCTCCCATTAAAGGGCACAAATATTAAAGGGATAGTGGACTAAGATTTTTCTGAAGGGCTTCTGCATTCCTACTCCCTTAACATTTAGGCAGTCAGAAGTCTGACCAGACCTCCAACTCAGGGAATTTTATAGTCTCGATCTCACTTCCATTTCAGCTCTATAGAAGGCAATAAGTTAATAAAAATACTCACACAAGGCAAAAGAGTGCCTAGAGTCCATTGAAGTCAATAAGAATTAAGCATTTTATTAATGAGCAAAGTAAGTGTTACCTGAATTCCTACTGACTGTTTATCCAAGTCAATAGGAGGAGTAATGGCCTTTGGTCTAGTTATCACCCACAAGATGACTATTGCTCCAAGAATAAAAAGGCCAATCAATGCTGGTGTTGGGAGTGGTGAGAACAAGACCTGAAGTATCCAAATCATGGTGCTGGATTAGTACCACCAGGGTGGTTGACCTGAGCAGAGAAACAGAAGGTTTATCAGAATTATTCACATTAAACACTGAAGCCTTAATGAAGGTTAAGACATAATGTGTTCAGACAGGTTCGATGGGTGTCTAGTAGTGTGAAGTTGGACACCATTTTCCAATATGCAGTTTACACCATACTTAAAGCAATTTTGTGGATCCTCCAACAAGTCCAAGTCATCTCTTCAGTAACCCTACTCCATCCACTGAACACCAGTTGAGTCCTCACCTCAGGAGCCAAGAATGTTTTCTGATTATGGGCAGGGCTGTTTCCTTTTCCCAGATGTATTTTCTTCACTAAGTTAATGAGTAACTTTTAGCCAAGTCTTTCCTAAGTGTGTGGCATTAGAGACTAAGCAGGGCTACATGGAACAGTAACAAAGATGCATTTAAAAATAAGGTCTGTACTCTTTGTAGAGAAAGCAGTATGTACACCAAGTCAGCATCAAGTGCCCTTTTGTACTTCAAGCCTATGAGCTTCTTAGGTCTCTTGTGGAGGAGGAAGGACAGGCACCTGAAAGAGGAGGACTAGGCTGCAAAATACACACTTCTACATGTACTATTGAGATTAATGGCGTGAAAGTCAGGCTAGAACAAGGACTTTGAAATTGAAGCCAATATTATGTTCATACTTCAGTTACGCTAAGGGATGCTTGGCTTATGAATGAACACTGCCCCATGGATACAGGTGGCTTGATCCAGATATCAAGTTACATGTTTATATTGGTTATGATCTTGTCCTGTTTGAGACAAATGTCAGTTTCCTACAAGCTGGAAAGGCCTCCCCAGACTAGCTCTGCTGAGAAGTTCCTCTGTTGAGTTAAGAATTTGGAAACAAGCAACTGCAATCTTAAGCTTGTGCTAGAGAACTTCAGACTTGCACTAGAATTGCAAAGTGACTCAACCACACTTCAAAATCAGAAGTACACAGGTGGCAGCAAAGAGAAGCCACAAATGCAGTACAGTACTGTGTGTTAAATATAAACTAAGAGAAAGGAGAAACTTCCCTCATAGAAAAAGTTTCAAAGCTGTGTAAGTCAATGTTCAATTGTTACCTTTCTAAAAAGCATAACTCAGCTCAGTCGAGGCATTTGTAACAGGCTCTGTTGAAAATGGCTGGCATTAAACCCCAGGATGTCAACTGAGTCACACCACGTCAGTTTGACCCCGTGTTCTTATCACATGCTAGTTCACATCTACTAGAGGTGTTAGTTCTCATGCATGTACAGACTTATTTAGGAGTGAAAACAAAGGCTAATTAGAAGGAGCCAAAGCCCCATAGTGTCTTTCCTGAACTAAATGGTTAAGTCAGTTCTGTTGAGTGTTAAGATTTTTTGAAACAAGCACATGGTTGGTAACAGGAACACAGGCTAGTGTAGTAAACAAGACCTGTGTGGGACTAATGTTTGCTATTCCTAGTCATGTTTATATTTCAAACACTAAATGGCCTATCTCCATTACTCCAGTTTTCCAGGTAATAGGATCCCTTTGGCACAGTACATTTGAAATGAGTCTTGTAGCCATGTAGCTAAAATGTAGCTTTATGCAAACTTGGTTTAGTGTACTTTGCCAGCTTAGTTTTTAAATCAGAAAGGGCCTTCCACTATTAAGTCTGGACACAGGACAATAGTGGATTGCTATATGGTTCAAAGGACCAGTCAATAAGACCGTTGAGATACCATGAAGCCAGATGGTTCATTTTAGACCCCTTTAATCATGCCTTGATTAACTTAATTCTCCACACACACTAAGCAGCTACTGCTTTCAGTTAGTGGTTGCCACTTAGAGCCAGGATATGCAGATTTATTTTCAGAGTAGTACTCTGAATCACTAGTCACCTTTGAAAGTTAAAGTCATCCTTGACACCTTTGAAAGTTTTAGTTTGAGTCATAAGTCATCCTCATGGACAATGGCCCTGCATTGTTTGCAACTCAGCAAAACTTGGCTGGGGCAGGGGTGAGGGGAGACCATTTATGTTTCTAATTTAGAGAAAAAAGGGAAGGCATACACCTTCTGAATTTTTGGCTGTTCAATCTGACACCTTCGCTTCAGTTAAGGCACTTTGGCTCTTATGCTTGTTGTAGCACAAGCTTCTATTCTTGTTATGCCTATATAACCCTACTGATGCCAGTGGATTACATGGCTTTTAACAGAAGGATTTAGTCCAGTTCCCTGGGGACTGAAGGATTGCAAAGATCAGAGTTATTGTACAGGAATGAGAATTACCACCCTAGTTTTTAGGGGGGAAAAAAAAAAAAAATCAACCAAGGCCTTCAATATTTGACACACGAAGTACATGGAGGAGGTTGCACTTTTGTAATGCTTAACCTTTATGCCTATTAACATACATTGAGCTACATGTAGCACTAAGGAGCTGTACTCTGTGTCTTTACTGCATTTTAACTTTCTCTACACCATACCGGTCTTTTTTCCATGTCCCATTACTCCAAGTCACTGAGGTGACAGCCTCGTGCTAACAGCAGATGTTACTCATCTTGACTACATCTGCTATGAAAAGTCTTCTATAGTAGCTTTAGATACAAAGACTGTTTCAACCCCAAAGATTTCACAAGGAAGCAAGATCAAAGAAACCCCCAGAAGTGGCCAACGTGCTGGTTGATGGGAGCCAATCCAATAAGAGGAAGTTGGAGGACAGGCTGGTATTGATGCCAAGACAGCAGTATTTGGGAGCTGTTGGTAGGAATACCACTTTTAAGAAATCTATGAAGTCAGCCTGCTGGATCACCACAACTGGCATCCAGTTTCTTTGCTCATAGCCCGTGATTACCTTCCTCTGAAACAAACATCCCTGGCAAAATGCATTCTTACTAATAAGCAATGTTGGTCTTAACTTATTCCTCTTACACAAGAGTGTTATGAACTCATGTAAGTAGTGTTTGTAAGCCATTAAGTTACATACAAGCCATACAGAGAAGTCAAACTCCATTCTGTGGCATCATATGGACACCCACATGGGCCATCAGCAGAGTCAGAACCTTTAGAGTCACTATACTGAGGTAGTGGAATACAAATAGCAATAGTAGACAGGCATCCTCTGGACTAGCACTACATGGAGAGAAGGGGACACTTCAGTGGGTTTTAGGTATTTGCTGAAGTCAGAGCAATGGTGCAACTCAATTCTATTTTCATTCCAGGCTTAAAGTGCATCTAGCAGGGGACACCTGCTCATTTGCCTGATCTTGAGCCCTTCTTTCTTGCCTTTCCCAAGCCTTAGTCCCATCTAGGGAATCCCCTCTCCAATCAAACTTCTCATCAGTCCCTTACCCCCACTAGACCAAGTTGCCTCGCAGCTCCAGGCTTGCACTCCCACCCTGATCCTCCCATAGTCACATCCTAGTTTCTCTTCTTGGCTCCTTGTTCTAGTTCCCTCCCTCACAGGAGGGTGTCAAGTCTCATTCTTCCCCCTCTCCCATAACTGGCCTATGGCAGGACAAAAACTAAGCTATTTCCTAAGCTTTAGGACAGAGTCTTCTAGGTTGCTTCTCCTAAATTTACTCCCCTACTTTTGCTTTTGGGTTTAGCTCTTATCCCTCTTAGTTTAGGCAGTTTTCTTCCCTACCTCAAAATCAGGAGGAGGGGGTGGAAGAGGCACTGGATGCAAGCAAGAGACCTATAGTCAGTATGAAGAAAGCTACATAACTGACTAACATTGCCATTACAACTTACCCTCCACCTAGTGTAGGCACATGCTGGTGCAAGACTGCTTCTGGTGACATAATTGTGCTCTCAAATTGGGGGAAGAAATTGTGTTGTGTAGGCTGTGTCTACACTATCAAGACCATATCAACAGGCTAGGTCTACACTATAGAGACCATGCCAACAGTCTCAGTTCCTGTGCCTAGATCCAACATGACCTGGAACAACCTGCAACTGCAAAAAGCAAGGAAAATCTTGGGTAGCCCCAAGCAAGAGCATGCTCAGTACAAACTGTTCAGAGCCTAAACCAGGGGTAGGGAACCTTTTTTGGACCAGGGACCACTGACCCACAGAAAAAAGTTAGGGGCTACACAGTGAGAAGCCAAAAAAGCCTTATTGATGTGGCCCCTAACTGGGAAGGAAGATGACAACACTCCCCCCACTCTCCTTGTGGATCAGATCCGGGGAGAGGGTGCAGTGGAGGGGATTCCAGCTAGTAGATGGAGTGCTCCAGCCCCATGGTGGGGAGCTGGAGCACCAGCATGGGCTCTGCAATTGATGAGAAGCCCTGAGCTTTAGGTGCCACATCCAGGTAAGCCAGGGCATCTGGAGGCTGAAGTTTCTCATCTAAACTGTGAAGTTCTAAGGAGTCTGAGTATGTGCCAGCTACAATTTCTGCAAAAGATCACAACTTGGTCAAATTTGATCCTATTCTTAAAGGGCTATACCATTTTTGGTCCCTACCACCAATGCCACTCTGCTACTAAATGAGCAGTCCCTGCTCCAGAGCGTGGGGAGGAGAGAGAGAATTAGAAGTGCACAAAGAGTTAAGGAACAAGCTAGAGAGTCTGTTCATACTTAAGGCAAAAAGTTTTAGCTGATCCTTCAAAAAAAATGTTGCCTTGAAGCAGAATCCAGCATGCAAGATTTCAGCCAAACTGAAGCTATTTGGGCTGTGGTTTAAGTAACTGAAAAAACCCATATAATGGGATGTGTTAACTAAGTGGGACTGCTAGCTCCACCAGTACTTCAGGATAGTACTTCACACATTGGACTAGTACTAAACTGGAGCCACAGTTGTGTGTTGCATATTTAAGTAATGAAACAGCAGGGCACTTCAGGGGCAACCAGAGACTGATTAACACATTGCTGCTCCCCAGCTTGTTCCAGGCCAATATAGAGCAAAGCAGCAAGGGCTTCTCTAGCAGGTACCAAGACTAAATCTGACCCCAGCAACCTATTGACAGGTGAGGTAAAGTCAATTGGCCAGTGTTCTGTGGTTCTGCCCTCCAGCATGTTTGACTAACGTGCGCTACTACAGATTTTATCTGA